AAATAAATATATATATTCATATATTATTTTTTTTTTACAGGATTGATATGATGGACAGACTGCACTTTTTTCATGCCCATCTCTATTAGTCAGTGCTCAATACTCACATTTGAATATGTTGTTTGTGTATGTGTAAAAGCGTAGCAGTTTATTTGTGCGGTTGGTGTGGAGAATGTAACACATGGTGTTTTCAGCATTTGTGCCCCACACACATTTAAAGGCACCAGCAGGGTTTCACCTGTCTGGGCTGAGCTACACCAAGGCTCTCTGGTTTCGGTGGGGTACATTGCTCCTAAGCCCAGCTGTAAACGCTACAGGATTAGCCAATCTGCATTTGCGCCTTCTTGTCTTTCTTTGAGGGTGACAGCAGGGAAATGTGCACCTCTGTTTGCTTGCTTTTCCAACTGTGGTGAAACATCAGACTTACGTATATTTCTGTAGATTTGTATTGGGCTTGCGTTACACATCCAATGCATTACACGTCCCTGTATTCATTTATTTATTTATTTTGGAAAGTATAGCTCTAACTGCTTTGGAGTTATTCATGTTAACTATAGCCTTAAGGTAAAGAAAATTGAAGTAAATAGTTAAAAGATAGATTTATAAGGTGGGAATGTTAGGGTGACGCAAATTGACCAAGGCTCTCTGGTTTCGGTGGGGTACATTGCTCCTAAGCCCAGCTGTAAACGCTACAGGATTAGCCAATCTGCATTTGCGCCTTCTTGTCTTTCTTTGAGGGTGACAGCAGGGAAATGTGCACCTCTGTTTGCTTGCTTTTCCAACTGTGGTGAAACATCAGACTTACGTATATTTCTGTAGATCTGTATTGGGCTTGCGTTACACATCCAATGCATTACACGTCCCTGTATTCATTTATTTATTTATTTTGGAAAGTATAGCTCTAACTGCGTTGGAGTTATTCATGTTAACTATAGCCTTAAGGTAAAGAAAATTGAAGTAAATAGTTAAAAGATAGATTCATAAGGTGGGAATGTTAGGGTGTAAAACGCAAATTGTGTTCCTCATTAAATCAGACTCTGTGAATGATTAAAGGCTTGTGTCATGGATGAATGAAAAGAACTCACCTCAACTTTTCAAGGATAGGTGAAAGAAACAGCTTGTCTTATTACTGTCTGAGTGTTTTCATGTATTGGCTCTCTCTAAACGTGCTGTGAGAACCAGAAAGCTTACACTCATTTCCTCATTTACTGGCTCCATTTCTTTTTCACACAATTATAAAACCTAACCGAGTACAAACACTGCAGTCAGCTGTTAGAGGGATAATCAAATGTATGACTAGGAAACAACACTGAAAACCCGTTAAGTAGAAATAATCTTCCTCCCTCTGATCTCACGCTTCTGCCACTCAATAATCAGACGTAAAGGTTACATTTTCCAGAGCCGTTTCTCGCTCAGACCAAGACACAAATATCTCCGTCTGAAGTATTTTATACAGGATGTGTGAGGAAACATCTCGAATGCAGTCAAAGGGCCATACTTCACTCACCAAGCACCAAGCAGTGTCTTTGAGGTAAACTGGATTTGTTTTTCCACTTTGATGTGCTTTGGTATATTTTCATGCATTGAAACATTTTCTAATGCAGATTCTAATCCAAAATATATATTTCATGTGTGTGCTGATTTTTACGTGAGAAAATCTTTACTTACAAACTCATAATTACAACCCAGTCTCATAAAAATACGTACCTCTGGGTGCTTTTCTGCAACACCGTTTTTACGTACCTTACTGCACGTTTCGCCGCAGTTTCAAAGAGAAATGTCCACTGAGTGGCGCTAAAACACGGGTTCAATACGTGAACCCTGGCACGTTTTTATTGCGTTGATATAGGTACGTATTGCTGTGTTTTTATTACGTTGCTTCAGGTACGTATTGCGGCGATTCAGAATTCAAATATCCGGGGACTGTCGCTAAAAGTTAATGCTCTATCGTGTTGGAAATATGCCCTACACCAAAACCAACCCTAAACCTACCCGAAAGTGTTGACAATTGCAAAACTGATTTTAAAAAAACGCATTTGTTAATGCAACTGTGTCATTTGAACTGACTTATATGCCGATTTGAACTGTTTTGTCGAACCGTAGTTACACGGGATTCTTCTAGTGTTCATTTCTTTTGGAAACTGCAGTGATATGTACTTATTGGTACATATTTCGCGTCTCGCGAAAATGTGCCCCGGGGTACGTTTTTGCCATGAGACCAGGTTGCATAATTATGATGGTACTGAGTCTGGACAACATAATAGTTCAAGCACAAGTCTCAGACTTCACTAGCATCTTGTGAGTTTCAAAAGTCTGTATATATATATATATATATATATATTGTATAAAGTTGTATAAAAAGTCATGTAGAAACAATTTTCACTAAAAAATTGCTATTTGATTTTACAAATAATTATAAACAATTGGTTAAAAGTTTTTCAAATTTTGAAGTAGAAAGACTGAAATAGTATGTTCTTGTCAAATATACTACAGTAAAATAAAATGGTTTTTTTTAGCATTCACTTTTTGTATTGGAGTACATTTTACAAGAAAATATTATTTCCGTTTTTCTACTTCAAAATGTCATATTTAATTGAATGTGTAACTTGCAGTGTCTTTGCAATTGTTTGTGACCTTTCTGAGTGAAAATTGTTTCTACACCATTGTTTTTTACAATGGTTTTTTTTGAGTTAGAGTAAAGTGTTTATAAAATGAAGTTAGAATATTGTAAGTCACACAAGGATGTCAACTTTTCCAATGTATTTAATGTCTCATAATATGCATGAGGCACTGCAAACACGCAGTGAAATGTGCCGTTAGACTGCTGGATATGTGGAGTCAGGCCTGCAGCAGCTGTGATGGAGCTCCGCTCACTGATGTGTGTTAATGCTGTCTGTGTTAGTCACTGTCGCCCAGCAACACACCTGTCAGGACGGCCAAGAGTTTACCTGAGCTTCCTTCACAGCACACATGAAATACAGAGCGGATATATATATATATATATATTGTATAAAGTTGTATAAAAAGTCATGTAGAAACAATTTTCACTAAAAAATTGCTATTTGATTTTACAAATAATTATAAACAATTGGTTAAAAGTTTTTCAAATTTTGAAGTAGAAAGACTGAAATAGTATGTTCTTGTCAAATATACTACAGTAAAATAAAATGGTTTTTTTTAGCATTCACTTTTTGTATTGGAGTACATTTTACAAGAAAATATTATTTCCGTTTTTCTACTTCAAAATGTCATATTTAATTGAATGTGTAACTTGCAGTGTCTTTGCAATTGTTTGTGACCTTTCTGAGTGAAAATTGTTTCTACACCATTGTTTTTTACAATGGTTTTTTTTGAGTTAGAGTAAAGTGTTTATAAAATGAAGTTAGAATATTGTAAGTCACACAAGGATGTCAACTTTTCCAATGTATTTAATGTCTCATAATATGCATGAGGCACTGCAAACACGCAGTGAAATGTGCCGTTAGACTGCTGGATATGTGGAGTCAGGCCTGCAGCAGCTGTGATGGAGCTCCGCTCACTGATGTGTGTTAATGCTGTCTGTGTTAGTCACTGTCGCCCAGCAACACACCTGTCAGGACGGCCAAGAGTTTACCTGAGCTTCCTTCACAGCACACATGAAATACAGAGCGGACAAATGCTCTCAAAGAGCCCTTTCTGAATGTTTGTCCTCTACAAGGTGTGCTTTAGTCTCATTTCATGATTTGCTGCCAGAAAAAAATAAAATAAAATAATAATAAAATAAATCAATGTAAAAAATCCCTAAAGCAAAAAGAAAACACCCATCGGTGGGCAAATGCATATATACATATATATATATCTTCAGTATTTTTGAAGCAAGGTGAACCAAACACCCATTTAGTTCCTCTGAACTCAAGAATCCTTATATGTTGATTCATGCTCTTTTTTTATTTGACTAAACACAGAACAGAGATTAAATAAATTTGTGCAAATTATTTGTAATTGTTTGCTAAAAAAATAATTTTATCTATATAGAATAAGGCCTGTATTTTATTATCGAAATGATCTTCTTTAAAAGCATTTATTACTAAATGACAGTGAGTGCTAATGATGTAAAAACATGATATATATCTCTATATATATATATATATATATATGTGTGTGTGTGTGTCTACAGGAAATATGGCCCTTTTTTTTTTGCTGGCTCAAGATGTAATCATCATGTATTGCTTGATTCAACACGGCAGATTTCACCGCTCTTTATTTATTTTAAGCAGATTAATTCCAGCAGTATATTGTTATTGTTCATGTGTGATGTTATTGCACTGTAAGTACTTAAGTTTTCGTTGGAATTTATGGTGTAAAATGTTAGTGAATAGATTACAGTCTGTTTTTTTTTTTTTTGTATTTTATTAATTTTTCCAATTAATTTTTAGTTGAAATCTATTGCCTTGAAAGATGCTGTAATTTGACACAAAAATGAACTGACAAAAATGTTTCCTGATGTCACATGGATTATTTTACCGATCTCCTTGCTATGTTTCTGGACTTGGGAACATTTCAGTTGCGTTGCTGTCTATGCAGGGTCAGACAGCTCTCAGATTACATCAAAAATATCTTAATTTGTGTTCCGAAGATGAACGAAGGTATTACGGGTTTGAAACGACATGAGGGTGAGTTATTAATGGCAGAATTTTCCTTTTTGGGTGAACTATCCCTTTAATACACTGCAAACGTGTACTTAATCAGTATGTTTGTCTTGTTTTCTAGCAAAAATATCTAAACATCCTTTAAATAAGATCAATTTACTTATACAAATTTGCATAATATAAGATTTGTTTACTTTCTATTAGCTTTTTATTTTTTTCTTCTTCAGCATAAACCTCAGTATTTAAAAGAAAAAAGAAAGAAAAAAATCATAATATCTTAAGCAATTTCGCTTCTTAAGTAAATGTTTTGTTTTATGGATGCTTACTTTTTTACTAGAAAACAAGTATTTGTAGAATGTGTAGGAACAAGAACAAATCAAATCAAATCAAAAATTCTAGGCTAGCTTGAGTGAGAGGGTGAAGCGCTGAGTGGCGGTTCGTGATTTGATAAGCATCAGCTGCCGTTGGTGATAATGACGGAGGTGCCTTTATGGCCCGGTGCTTGTTCAGCCTGCATGCGCAGATGAGTGGCCATGTCGTAATGGGAGGAACCTGAGCAACCCAGGGAGTATCCTCTAAAGCTGTCTGCCTCGTACAGATGTTCTAGTGCGTAGCTGGTGAGCGAGTAGGCTGTGTGTTTTTCCAGGTACTGGCGGGGGTGTGAGGGGTATAGCGCTGGAGTCGGAGAGACAGCACATGTGCCCGTCAGGGGCAGAGGCTGCTGGTGTTGCTGAGAAGAGGAGAGCTCGCTTTGCAGGAAGTCTTTACTTTTACCCAGTCTGTCAGGGATGGGGCTGCTGAGACGGGACAGAGGAACAGGACTAGGGGCGGGGCTTATAACCTGAGCCGGCCCCCGACACACCACACTCTGCAATGCTGACTGGGAAAAGTCGGTACTGTGAAACAAGGAGCCGTGGCTCTTTGCCAGACCGTTTGTAGAGTCCAAAGGTATTTCTGTAGGAGCCTTTCTCAACTGCAGACGACTTTCCATGGCACGTCCTAAGGAAAGCTCATTGTGGGACTGGCTCGTAGTGGCTGAAATTCTGCACCAAGGCTGAATTTCGGGAAAGAGACTTCAGATACAGTACTAGGGACCACTTAGGCCTATATAAAAGCATCCAAAAAGCAGCATGTCATGGGACCTTTAAGGAACGACTAGGCATGTCCTAGTTGTGTAAATCACATTAGAAGTCTTCCCAGCAATAGAAGACCTTCCTAGAGCTCCCAATATACCATTACCAGCCAAATGGAAGGCATTACTGTGATACTGACCTGTGAATATGGAGAGAGTCTTGTTTTGGTCTTGGTACGGGAGACTCTGCTTTTGCCAACTCTTCTGTTCTCACTGATGGGGTTAGAGGGGCTGTTGTAGGTGAACGAGGGTTTAGCGGACGTCACCTGATCTAAGGACAACTGTAGTCCTTTGTACTCCGTGTCCCTGTTGGGGAATGACAGCAACATTTAGCCTCGAACCCAACAGTGTGTGCAACTTCATGGTTTGCGACTGCTTGTCTCGCTATTACCGTTTACTGGTGCATTTTTCCCCTTTCAGTTTACCACTCAGAGAAATGTATGGTCAGGCATTTTTTTGATACTTGAGGCTCCATGCTCATTTGTGAAGCAGTGTGTGAGGAAGACTCAAGGACAGAAAATGAATTGCATTGTTTCTCCTGCAGGATTGGAACAAGGCTCCTACAAACATACGGCAGAGGGCTGGAGGCTCTGTTCAAATACACAGTGAGATTAAGAGCTATGTCTTGCTAAATCAAACCCACACAGGGATCACCACATAAGGCATAACTAGGAAATGGGAATTGATTTCTCAGTAAAGTGGTGTATGGATTTCTGTTCCCAGTGATGTATAACTTTCAGAAAACGATGGCTGGAGTGTATGCTAGCCAGGCGCCGATGCCAGCTTCCCTCCTGAGGCCTAGCAGTCTGGCTCAGACAGCACGCAGACTAATGGGATTGCATGCAGATGGCAACATCTTGGAAAAAGACCGACATACACTTTCTCACATGCAACCCGCACAAATGCACTCGCAGATCCATGCGATCTCATGAAGTTGACACCGTCGTTGTACGCGCTATGTAAACAAAAAGTTTTTCCGAGGTCAGGGCCTGTAGAAAGAAACCAAGACCCTTAAGGTGCAACAGGTTGGCCGGTGTGAGTGGTTTAGCGCATACACACAATCTCATTCAGCTGAGCTGCCATTCTCACACACACACCATCTCATTTCACACCTCACAGCCCGTGTGAGTAGACTCTGATAACACCTCGATAAGACGCCAGACATATCCACCTCGCTTCCTTTTCTCACTAAAGACTAGCTGTGCATTTCTGAATGAGAGCACATGTGGAGAGGTTAAACAGGAAACAGATCTCGCACTCGTGATGTCTACACTGCAACGCACGCTTTTATGGAAATCATTCTTCTCAAGGAAACTGAATCATGGATGATGGCAGGGAATATCACAAAAAAAAAAGAAGAACTCCATTCATGGACACTCTTAGCAAGCTGTGAGCTATAAACACTCATCATCTTTACAACCTATTAATTAAACCTCATAAACACTTTTCTTTTATAGCTGTGGCCGAAGAGCTATCTGACACTCGCAGGCTATTGGCAGACTGGCATATTAAAACCAGTCCACTTTTTTAATGGTTTTTATGGCGTGCAATTCATTTACATCTGTAACAGACAAATAGCAAAGGAGGGAGAACGAGTGGGGCTGCGGGGGGTGGGGGGCAGTCGATGCTCCAGATGCTGGCATCAGTTCTAATGGGCTCTCTGAAAGTGTGCGCACAAATGCTGCTTTTCACTCTTCCATACGTCCCTCGCTCAAAACCGTAGTGTGAGCGATGGCTCCATTGCTCAATCCTACCTCATTCTTTCCAGAGAGTTCCAGTGGAAATGTTCATTGTGGTAATGCACGGAGTTTGTCAGTATGAATGCATGACAAATAAATCATCCACGACCCCTGGCTCCCATGCAGTCCCTGTGCATGCAGCTGGCATATTATATAAAGCAAGAACAGGAATGACACCCCAAACTGTCTGATGAGCATCAGGGCAGCTTTAACACGCTCAGTCACTGTCATTGGTGGACTTGCAAACACCATAAATTTGAACCTTAATGATATTGTATTGAACCTATTGCTAGTTGTAAGTCACTAAGAGGGGCCTTTTAGCTGAGTAACAGTGGAATAATGTGGGCAATTCAACACAACTGTAGACAGAAGCTTTAAGAAATTATACGGCTTACTACACTTTTGCCTAATACACTGCATGCATGTTAGTCATGTACAAATGGATTCAAGTTTGTGTATGCATTATTGCATTATTGAACAATTTGAGGGTATAGCTGAAGTGGTAACACATTTTTTTAAGAACCAATTCTCACAATCAACTAGTTGCTTATTAGCATGCATATTATTAGCATATTGGCTGTTTATTAGTACTTATAAAGCACATATTAATGCCTTTTTCTGCATGACAATATTTTACATCCCTTAATCCTACCCCATACCTAAACTTAACAATTACCTTACTAACTATTAATAAGCAGCAAATTAGGAGTTTATTGAGGCAGAAGTCATAGTTAGTTAATAGTGAGAATTGATTCCCAAACTAAAGTGTGACCGCTGAAGTTGTAATTATCCCATGTTATGGTGAAAGTACATTAAGTAATTTGAAAATATGATTTTGCATGCATATACACTACTGTTTAAAAATCAGGAGTCAGTAAATTATTTTTTTTGGAATAAATTAATACTCAGAAAGGATGCATTCAATTGATTAAGAGTGACAGTAAAGACTTGTATAATGTTGAACTGTATATTCATCAAAGAATCCTGAAAAAACAAAACCATTTTCAACATTGATAAAAAATAATAAATGTTTCTCGATCATAAAATCAGCATATTAGAATAGATGTCGGTGACACTGAAGACTTGAGTAACGGCTGCTGAAAATTCAGCTTTGCATCACAGGAATAAATTAGATTTAAAAATATATTAATATGGAATACAGTTATTTTAAACTGTAATTACAAATGCCTACTACACATCAGGGGTTTATATTCTTTATACAGGCTGTCTGTATTGGAAACAATGAAGTACTCAGAAATTTAAAACTAGGGGTTACAAATGCAAATATATATATATAAAAAATAAACTATGAACATGAAAATAAGTACATGACTTTATAGCCTTTCATAGAATTCAGTGTTCATTATCTGAATTTAATTAATGAAAATAAAACAACAGTGTATAAAGATCTCATGCTGTTTTGAAGATGCATATTTAAAGAGGCATAAAAAGCTTTAGTAACACACATCTTTATATAGTGTACTCACGTGAGGACGTAGTTGACGCTGACGATGCAGTGTGGTCTGGACGATCTGCTGTTGTGTACGATAGTAGCGTAACTCTGTACCCACACCCACCCACCCTGCTTAGCCAGGAATCGGTAGTATTTGGTGGTGACTTGTCCTTTTACCAGCACTACAGAGAGAGAAACACACACAATCAATTAAAGAACATTTCTGATATACTTTCACTTCACATACGCTTCTTTTGCAAAACAGAAAAAAAACCAATTCATTAATTTGTTTACTTTTAACATTGTGCAACATTGTGATTTTTTTTAGTTGGTTTTACGTGTGGTTCATTTCATCTTGTTTATTCAGGAAAGCTAATTACTGCTTTCATTTGCATGCTTAAACCATAAACTGACGTTTTTCTTTCAGCCTTAATAACTATTTATAGCAAATAATGTCAAATATTGTGTCTCTTAATAAGCTGCGTTGTGCTGCAATCAGGAATGTGATAGATAAAACAATGGATAATTGATAATAGAAAATTGTGTTTTTAAGGACTAAACGTGTAGAAAAAAAAATTCTCATTTTCAATGCGGTTCACTAATTTAGTTACTAATTGATTGCATGTGTAATCTAAGCTCATGCTCATATCAGTATGTTGAGACAGGGAAATCATATTCATCTCCTGTAACGTGATATTATCAATTAGCACGCTCAGACCCTCGTGACGGTGAGCGATGTCAGTCATCACTAAAGCAGCTAGATGCTGTAAAGGAGACTTGTGCCAGAGGAATGAGGAAAAACAAACCTAACTCACACAAGTGGTGCGCGCAGCGGAGATGGAAAGTGTCACAGCTGTGGACGTGGTGATAAAGTGTCTTCTCTATTAAGTCTTGCGGCTCGTAGCCAGTGAGCTCCGCAACCCTGACAAACACAGAACACAGAACGGAATAACAATGGTGTTGGCGTGAGCACAAACACCTGTCCACACACTGGCACGTGCAAGAACGGGACACATTTGGTTAAACGTAAGCCCAATGCGCAAATGTGTGACTCACTAAACACAGCTGCATCTGGATATATACAAAGCTGCATTTACACAATCATAGAGGCACACGTGCACAGACACACAGACAAGAAAGTCCTGTTTGTGTCATTTGGTGGTTTGAAAATACAATTTTACATTATATATGGCACAAATAATAATATCCATTTTGATATCCATGTTTAACTTTGAATTTTCAAATGCCAATGTTTTGTTCAAATTGTGATGCTGATAATATAATCTGCAACTAAAAAGTTGCAAAATGCAAAAAAGCATTTTCATTCATAGTCTCAGGCCTTTGGTCCCCATTGCCTATTAATAAAACTAGCAGCGCAGCAATATGTATAAGCGTATGAACACATGGTACCTGGAGTCCAGGAAAATGAGTTTCATGTCCAGGCTGGCTCTGAACATGAACATATTGCTGTGGAGCTTGATCTCGGTTACTGCGCTGGGGGGGAGAGAGTGACCAACAGCCATCAGACCCACGTTCTGATAACAGCCGTCAAACGGAGACATGTCTAAGCTGTACTGACGGACCTTCAGATAGCCGCTGCAGTGAATTACCTGTCGGAGATCACACACACATATGCATCTGCATTAGAGTTCACAGCAACTGTGATAAACTCTATGCTATCTTATATTATGGTTTACATGTAAATATTCTCGGTCTATATACAATGTAAGTTAGAAAAGCCTGTAGGAATGCAGGTGGATCGCTTTCTGAACATTTGTCAATGCTGATGATTTAAAATATGCTGCCAAATGGCCACAATAGAAATAGATCTCCATTACAATATATAAGGAAAAAATATTAAATATTGTATATAATAAATGTACACCACACATAAAAAAAAAAAAGGAATGAATGAAAATATAACTTGGTCTACCTTGTAACCAGCACACGTCAAGCCAGCGTTTCTTTTAGCAAGGACGCATTTCATTCTCAGGAAAAAAGACCTTTCCATTTCATATTCTAGAAAAAGAAGCAGAAGACGGTGAAGGAGCTGTTTGAGGGAAGATGAATTGATTTGTGTGCAAAGGTGTGTAGTGGCTGTCTTACCGTGGACGAAGTGTGAATGATACGGCTGGTGAGCCGTCAGGACTGCGGTCATCTCGTCGTGGTCTGCGGGGTGGATGTATTCATAAATGCTGTTCCCCGTCAGCTCTACCTGTTAAAATGGACTTTTGTCATTGCAGTCAAAGCTGCCAGAAATAGTGTGATCTAGGCTGAATATAAATAGGCTAGGAATAAAAGCATTCAGTAGTAAATAGGAAAATGTGCACTTTACCTGTGACAACCCTAAATGCACTGATGCAGTTTCAGAAATGTACATGATTTTTCCATCAGGAGCTACCACAAAAATGAAGCCATCCAAAGTCTAAAGAAATTTTAAAAAAATAATAATTAATGCATTTATTTACATTAATTTGTTCTTATATTATGAAAGCATCACTAGCTCTAAGAAATCAATTATTATTATTTTTTTTCATTGAAAGCAAGATGCAATTCGGGTAGAGTTGAGGTAGCATTCAACATCTGAATCAGGAGATAAAATTAAGCCTTCATATTCCTTTATAACAATAAGTAAAAATATAAATAGATGCAGGAAGCACAAAAAACAACAACAATGTAATCATTTAAATAAATTGTGAAACAAAATCTTCGCAAGAAACACAACAAATGACAAATATTTATATTTTAGACGGCCTAACGGTTATCGTGGAACAGACCCACTAGCAATGCAAAATTGTAACTGTAAGACGAATTCTAAGTAGCCTAGCTCTATACGATCATTAAAAAAGTTCTATAGAATAGTTTCAGATTTCGATTCCAGAATTAAAATATTTTAATTATTAGGCCTACATATAATAATAATAATAGGCACGTACAGAATTTGAAAGTGTGTACCTGAAGCAGATGTGATCCTAACTCTCGGCCCACAATGTCCAGAGAACTCGCTCGACTCACATGGCCCCAAGACTCCCCAAGACCTGCGGAACGTATTCATTAAAAACACCTCAGCTTATCAGCTTAAAAATAAAAAAATGAATTATTATGATGAGCCTTAAATATCTGACAATCCATCCGGGTGCTGAAAAGAGCTAAGCTAAAACCAGTCTTAGCGCATAGCCTAGCCTACAAATTCGATTTGACGGAAAAAGCATATTAAAACTTACAACAACACACAAAAAAAAAATAACTACAGCAAAAACAATAGTCTATCGTCATCTGACGATCAGTCAGTCAATATTTGAACACTGAATTGACTGTAAACACGCTGAATGTAAATGAGGGGTGTTTATGGTGGTCCCGTCCAGGCGGAGAAACTCGATAAAGCAAACAGTCTGACACACACAATCCTTATTGAAATGCAAATCACACGAAAACAAACATCAAAAGCGCTGATTCCACTTTAATATTAAACAAACATGGACTCCGCGTTTATCCAGCAGAAACAATCACATTACTGCTCAAACAGCTCACTGAAATATAACCACATTCTTCCAGAGCCAATAACCGCTCAGAAAAACCTCCCGTAGAAACATGTTTGATGGCGGTTTTTTTTTTTTTTAACTGGCAGATCATTAAAAAAAAAAAAAAAAACTTTTTCTATAGCCTAAACAAATCAAATATTTTAAGATTAAGATTCCGTGAAAGCTATTCGACCACTCAGACCGTGCTTTCTAATTACAGCTTATGATAAAAACATTTAGGTTTATTAAACGATGATGATGATGATGATAATAATAATAATAATAATATAAAACAACAATAATAAAAAATTGTCGAAACAGTAATAACTGCTCCCAGTAACAATAATAATTGTTAGTGGGCGGAAAGCGCTTCTGAGGATCCTAATGCACGCCTGACCCAATGCCGATGGATCCGAAAAGAAAAGTTCTGATATTTCGCAGGGGAATTATTGGATCTGATTGGATCTGGATATCCGCGAGCTAATCACAGAACGAACTTTACATAGGCTAAGTAATAATAGTAAAGCACTTCACACAAAAGAATACATCATTGCATGTCTAGCGGAAATGTTTCAAAAATTGCTTGCAAGACAAGAAAACCGAACTGAATAAAATCATTCTTCTGTTTCTACTGTAAAAGCTGTGAACCCGTTTCTTTAGGCGCTGCTGAGAACACTTATTTTCACAGGCCCGAGATGTATTCCGACACACGAACCCTAATGCCTTTTATTCACACGAAATTACAAATATTCCTATTCTATTCTCTAATGTAAACAATGGTTATAAATAAGCTTCTGCCATTTTAAATAGTCGAATAACCGTAAAACAAGAGGAATCACTCATAATAATAATAGCTAATAAACAAAAATTCCAAATCTGAGCGAAAACCCCGTAACAGCAGACTTACTAAAAGAAACTAAACGAATAAAAACAGAAAACAACGCCTATCGCATAAAGTTGTATTATTAAACTGGTGCAACATTGGACTATTATTTGACAGCAGTGTCCGTCAGAGTTATTCTCTTCACAGCCCAGCAATAAATAACCACCATAAAACCAGCTTCACCTTCCTTCATTTTCTAATAAAACTTTACTGTCTCATTTCCTCCAACACTACATGTGAGCTGTCTGTACCGTGACCTCGCTGACCTTTAACCCGGGCCAGCAGCTTCATTCACGTTTAAAACCATGTATTTACAATCTAATGAGTAAAGCACACGGTGCAGTCCTGAGGATGGTCAAATGCTACACTTTAGAATGTATTTTACCATATGCTTGTTTCCAATCCTGGCATATCCACACACTGCGAGCCGAATAATTACATCTAATTAACGCGGATATAAATGTATCAGTATCTGTAATGTATTACTTGAATCATATTTCCCGCTTTCTCTTGATCCGTTATCAAAGACGGAGCCGTTTGATGAAAAGACGTTTTTAGGCTACAGCAGGTTTCAAACATGTTAATCAGTCATCCCATTGGAACTATTTATAACATGTAACATAGCCTACATCATGTATATCTAACAATAAAGTTGTATTATTAAACTGGTGCAACATTGGACTATTATTTGACAGCAGTGTCCGTCAGAGTTATTCTCTTCACAGCCCAGCAATAAATAACCACCATAAAACCAGCTTCACCTTCCTTCATTTTCTAATAAAACTTTACTGTCTCATTTCCTCCAGCACTACATGTGAGCTGTCTGTACCGTGACCTCGCTGACCTTTAACCCGGGCCAGCAGCTTCATTCACGTTTAAAACCATGTATTTACAATCTAATGAGTAAAGCACACGGTGCAGTCCTGAGGATGGTCAAATGCTACACTTTAGAATGTATTTTACCATATGCTTGTTTCCAATCCTGGCATATCCACACACTGCGAGCCGAATAATTACATCTAATTAACGCGGATATAAATGTATCAGTATCTGTAATGTATTACTTGAATCATATTTCCCACTTTCTCTTGATCTGTTATCAAAGACGGAGCCGTTTGATGAAAAGACGTTTTTAGGCATACAGCAGGTTTCAAACATGTTAATCAGTCATCCCATTAGAACTATTTATAACTTGTAACATAGCCTACATCATGTATATCTAACAGTAAATAGGCCTATTATTAAAATTTAAGAGGTGAAAACCTAACCACAGAATACACAAAATAAATAAATAAATAAAAAGAGTCGCGCGTGCATTGGTGAAAATGCAACTAAAAGGGGGACTGGCAAACTGTTTTACACACTTTAAAGTTGTCTTTTTTCTTGATATTAGTATACTTGTCGCACACAAACGATCAGTTTAGCCTCCAGGATTTTGTAACTGATGAAATGTCGTGTTTATATGTGTCACATTGTCTTAAACCCGTGCCGAGTGATGGCATATCCCACAAACCCACGATCCCTTTTTATTGTTCTGTTCTTTTTAATAATAATAGTAGCCTAATACTAGTTTCGTGTACGCACTGATGTCGTGTATTTAAACGCGACAGTCAGGTGTTGATCGGACGCTGATAATTGGCGTTATTATTTTTCAGTCACGCAGAGCAGAAGGTGGAAAATAACGCTAATAATCAGAGTGTCGGGAACTACACTCGAATACACTCAGTCTCCTTGCTTTAATGAAATTCACTTATTTAAAAAAAAAAAAAAAAAAAGGTGCTGCTGCTGAAAAGCGCCAGGCCGCAACGCCCATAATATTTTCGCGTCGTGTTTGCATTTTAAAAACGGAAGGGCCTTCTAAAACTCTATTAAAACGTCTTAATTACTTGTATTAACACTGCGCTTTGGTGATGTATGTTGTTTGAGAATGATTTCGGTCCTATCGTTTCTGTAAATTATGTGCATTTTCCTATTGAAAAATGGTTGTTCTTTAGGGCCTTTAAATGACACACAGCTACATGTCTAGATCAAAATACTAGTGAAATAAAATAATAATTTGAAACAAATAATATATTAATTATTAATATACAGCGCCAATACTACTAAAAACATCAGTACATTTCTGTAAAGCTGCTTTGAAACAACGTGTATTGTGAAAAGCGCTATACAAATACATTTGAATTGAATTAATAACATGTTTGCATTGCATTATTAATAACATATTGTTTATTATTATTATTATTGCTGACAAGAACAATGATAATGATGCTAGGCTTCCCAAAATGAATGAATTCTTGACAGATGCCGTGTGTACGCAGAAGATGCTGCATGGGAAATGACTGACGCACCTTCTGGGAAGACGATCCTCATCTTCAGGTAGCTGGTGGTGAGTCTGATGATGGAGGCTTTGTCCAGCTGTGAGGTGATGGCCGAGGGCAGAGGCAGCAGTTTGGCCAGCTCATAGAACTCGCTGTTCTCCTTCTCCCGCCGCGTCCGCGCCGCGTTCTTCGACTTCTCCTTCATGCTCTCCGTCACTGACAGCTGTCTCAGACCCTTCTGCTGTTCGCTTCGATCTCTCCACAACACAAACTCAACCGCATGCGTGAGATATCTCGAGCAGTTTCACCAACATGGGAAGCTTTCAGAGACGTCCTGAAAGCGTTCCTGCCATCGCCAGTTCCCAGAGGTTCCTGAGATGTCTTACACGCAGATGTGAGACGAACAGAGCTTCATGGTTATGATTAGCTTCTTTCATCCGCCGTGAGTCTTATTTTACACACACATGAAATCCACTCGGGCCCGGAATCTCTTCATAAGGGAAGTTCCATCCATCCATCCATCCATCAGACGCGCAGAATATTCCTGGAAAACAGCAGAGCGCACGTTCACTTCTCTTCCGACTTAGAAATGCACGCTCTGATTTATGAAACTGGCTACCATATCAAAACCTATATTTACTACTACTAACTACTGACGTTTACGATCATGTTAATATAAACTACGCATTTTCTTTCTGCAGGTTTGCTTGATACCTGCTCCATATCTATTCATGTTAGATGACACTGAACGTATTTGATTAAATTGCCTTTATAATTTCATATTTTGCTTAAGTATAACTTTTCACTTTTCGATAGGTTGAAACTTGCACGTCTTCTTACCTCATATCAGACCACACTGCAAACTTGCATCGTCTTCATAAGTTCATAACTCCACGACGAGAAATATCCAGAGCTGCGTTCACGCGTTAATTCACGCCGAATTCCACAGCAAACACGGCATCTTTGTATCCAGAAGGATCTTGTTTGGAGGAGAGTTTGTTGAAGTCTCTTTCTGTCAGAGCAGCACACGGACCCTCCCCCTGAGCTCAGCTCATTGGACACTGAAGGACCAGAAGGGGTTTTCCCATTGGATCCCATTCACTAGCGGCCGCTCCGCGTGAAATCCCGATTTGTTAGAAATGCTGACCCCTGACGCTCTATGAATAATATTTACATTTAAAGTTCACTGACTCTATCTATCCATCTATCTATCTATCTATCTATCTATCCATCTATCTATCAGGGCTGCACAATTAATCGAATTTCTAATCGCGATTACAATTACGGATGCCACAATTACGTAATCGTTCAAAGCGGCAATTAATCGTTCAAAGTCCACTTATGTTATTCTGCGTGCTTAAGATGCGTTTTTTTTTCTTTCTACATGTTATCTTAAGGGTTTTTCCCATTATTTTAATTTTAGTTTTAGTATAACATTATAACACCATTCGTACTGTTTTATAATTTAAAGAAACCAATCCGATGTATAGTATTTTTCACATTTGAGGCTTAATACTATAGACGAGCACTAAAGGTTTTTTTCAGTTAGAGTGTTTTCAGCTTGTTTATTTTCATAAAAAAATACAGCATGCAGTTGCATCAAACAATGGCATAAACATCATTCCATGTAAATTGTGATAATCGTAATTAATAATCGCAATTACAATTTCAAGGGAATAATCGACAATTATGATTTTTGTCATAATCGTGCAGCCCTTCTATCTATCTAGAAGCTAAATTGCTGCAAAATTAAAATAGCGGAATTGTGGCAAAAATGTTCCCTTCGTTAAAATAAGAGCATTAATCAACCACCTAAAATATCCAACATAAAAATATGAATACAATACATATTTAAATGTGCAAATATTTTAAACTACATATCTATAAATATGCATTACATATAAATAAAATGTACGTGCTCGTGATTTATTTGATTTATTTTTTTGGAGGCATATTACATAGAACGTTGCTTATAATTGAACGCAGTTATTATTATGGTCCTATTTTCTTACGGTTTAACTAAAGGATTGTGCAGCAATACAAATACAGCAAAACTCAAGCAGGCAGATCTGCTGTCCATGAAAGAAAACAACAGTATTGATTCAGAGGGTAAGTAAGAGGCAAATCAGTGATTATGGGAGTAAATCCCACTCTTCTTCCTATCAGTGTCCTGCTGAATAAAGAGCCAGCCATTTTGTCCTGACTTTAGTTTTGTTAATATTTCTTATTTTATGTAGATATAACCACTGTTTTAAGTCCTAGCCTTTTTGTGATATCAATATGATGAATGATTTATTGTGTTACTATGATAAAAATTATTAAAAATTATTAAAATCATAAAATTTTTAAGGGGGGAATTTTTTTTTTTTTTTTTTTATGCAGCAAATGTTGATGAAAAAAAAAATCTGAATGCCAAAAGCTCTTTTTGTGTGTGTGTGTGTATCTCAGGAGGACAGCAGTCTGTGACTGTAATAGAAAACCACCTGCAGCAGGAGAAAATCAGAAAGGATGCGCCCAGCACACGAAACGCTTGATGCTGCTTTAACCTTTTCCTAAAGCCTGAATTTGCTGCTGATTAAATGGCGTCAGTGGAAAAGAGAACAATCGAAAATACTTTACAATATATGAAGTCCTCAGTAGGGACTCAAAACCATTGCCATTAAAACCACTGGCAATAAATGAACGCTTTAAAACAATTAAACAATTAGGATTTTTAATTACAGTGTTAGTCAGAGACAGCGAAATAAAACAGCCTACTTACATTTTTTAAGCAAGCCTATATCAGAAAAGGGGTTGTAAGAGATGCTGTCTTGTCTGGTCTTAAAGCAACTTTATTTATAGAACATAAACTGATCATTTTGCAAATTATCATGACCAACATTATGATAGACTATTGTTTGCTTTAGTCAAACCTCAACATCCACTACTAATAAAATATTATTCTTAAATGTATTACTTTATTATCGAAAAATTCCAGAACATCTTTATATTCTTGCATAAAAGTCATTTTTACCCTGACGGGTGACCTGGTAAATAATAACAAGCATGTGCTGACTATTTGACCTCTGTAACAAAAAAACAAAACACATGTGGCCTGTGAATAACTGCTGAACACAGTCAATTCCAATGCTATGCAAATGTGGGCACTTAGGAAAGAATGGAAACAATTGATAGACTGATAAATACAACTGTGCTGCATGTGCTTTTATTTTTTTATTTAACAAAATTGATTTTCGTACTGAATATTTCCATAATTCAGAAGCAAAAACAATCTTTTTATGTTTATATTTTAATTAGACAAATATAACCTTTGCCCGTAATGCAGAGTGTACAAAAAGAAGAAGCAGCAGCAGCACAAAATAAGAGTAAAGAGTAATAAGGCAGGAAGAGTGACCGTCCGAGAAACAGATGAGGCTGATTCTCAGAAGGTTCCTCTTGAATCAATTACAACCATCTGATCTCTCATTCGAAAGTGTTAGATATAAAATCTATGACTGTTTGGGCCAGATGTTCTAATCATCAAAATGTTTAATTGAACCAGAAAAAAAAAAGAAAAAAGTTGGCACCCATTCAGTGTAGTTTCACGAAGAGAACTGAAGAGCTGTCCACCAAATGAACATCTCAAGCCAAGAGAGAAACTTTGGTTTAGTTGTGCGAGGTCACTTCGGGGCTTTTTTGCCAGCGTTATCTGATATCTCACTGTTGACTTGCGCAGCAATGCTGGCTGGGATGATGTTCAGGTGGATGTCGTACTGCTGATCCAGGCCGAGGTAGCTGTCGCTCATCAGGTACAGCGTGTAGATACACCTGGAGAAAGATTCAGACGTTAAGACAGTAGATACTACAAAAAAAACGCCATCAGAGTAGCAGCAGACGGCTCTTACTTCCCCGTCTTCTCAGGCGTGTAGAAGGCCACGGACACGCTGCTGTGGTTGCGTATAAATCCCACACGTTTGATAGCCAGCAGTTCTTTCTTCTCCACCTCCCCGAGAACAAGAAACCAGCCTTCGTCTTTGGGTTTGGGGAAGCGTGGCGCCTGTGCCTTGCTGTCCTGCTTCCTCTGAAAAGAATGGAATCAGTATTGATTAAATGGCTAGAAAATGAAAAGAAAACCGTGAATGAAGTGGTGGACTCACTCTCTGCTGGCCGGCGTTGAGGCGGCGCAGGGACACCTGGAGCACGTACTCCTGGTCAGCGTGCAGCGGCAGCCAGCTGGACTCGTCTCTGATGTTGGTGACGTTAGCAGGGATCACGCGCTCGGTTTGCTCCTCACAACCCTCCCACCAGCCCTTCACACTCATCCTGACCTCCACCACAGGCAGGTGACTCAGAAAAGCCCACGCCTGTGCAAAGAACCCCGAATTAGCACAATGAGGAGGACATGCTTTTTTTTCCTGCTTCTCGAATTTGATTGATATCAGGTAAATTTAGCAATACTACCTCTGTAAGTTTTGTTAATCACGCTTATGCTCACCAAGGCTGTATTTATTTGATCAAAAACAGTAAGCAATGTAAAAACAGAAATATTGTGTATTATCTAGTGCAGTCAAACGATTAATCGCGATTAATCGCATCCAAAATAAAAGTTTTTGTTTACATAATATATGTATGTGTACTGTGTATATTTATTATGTGTATATATAAATACACACATACAGTATATATTTTGAAAATATTTACATGTATATACATTTATTATATATAAATATATTTAATATATAAACAAAATTTTTCTTACATATATACATGCATGTGTTTGTATTTATATATACATAATAAATATACACAGTATACACACATATATTATGGAAACAAAAACTTTTATTTCGGATGCGATTAATCGCGATTAATCGTTTGAC